AGTTGCACTCCCTCTCTGCACGGCCACTCGGAGCAGGTGCATGCAGTGCCCTCTACCTTCCAGCAGATGGCGATGCCCCGTCACATTCCACAGCCAGTGGGCGGAGCCTTTACCCACGTGCTGGGCATTTAATTTAAAGAGACAACAACTCTGCAGAGCCCAAGGAAAGTGACAGCCTTGGGGATCGCAGGAGGGAGAAGACTTTGGAGCATCTCAGGGAGGGAGTGAGAGAGGCAGAGGACCGCACCATCACCTGCACTGCCCATCTGGAGCAGGGAAGAGAAGGGGAAGGGGGATGGCAGCAGGACCACATTGGCCATTCTGCCCACTACATGTTTAATTCGTTTGCAAGAAGCTGCAGCCCTCATTAGACTCAGTGCTGTCTGGGACATTTAACAATCCCTGAGTGATGGCAGGAGAAGCAAATTGCATGCAGCTGCTCCAGCAGGGATGATAGGAGCCCCTGTGCCAAGCTGAAATAGTTTCCCTCTTTGTGTGTAGTCTGGCACATGGGGTGGGGTGCCCGCTGAGATAAAAGCCGGGGAGGGATGTGGAGGTACAGGATATAATTATACACCGAGGAGGTTAGAGAAGACAGCCAAGCCCTTAATGTTATGCCAAGGAGGTGAATACCTGCTGCTGCTGTATGATGTGCCAGTGACAACAAGGGAGTAGAGGGGTTGTCGGAGATCCCAGAGGCTCAGGCACTGCCCGGGGGGTGACATTGGGAGGGTGCAGAACATGCAGGACTGAAGATCTCCTCATCCTTCATCTGATCTTCCCCCTTATCACCTGGAACTGAGATTCTGACATGCAGAAGATCACTCTTCTTGTCCTCCTGGAGTGGATGGTCCTCCTAGTGCACACAGACTCAGGTAAGACCTCCAACCCATCCCTCTGCAGAGGAGGTCACATGACCATACAAGTTCCTCAAACAATTCTTTTTTAGGATGCATAACGTTTGATTGACACGTATTTATAGGATATGTACACCCATGAACTAAAATAAGATTTAAAATGTTAATTTAATCTCAAACATAACTTCAGATCTTCCAAAATCTTCAACTATCAACAGCGGGCGATCCTGCCATAAAGGTCCTTGCACAGGCACTTCCTGTTTGTGGGTGACAACCTTTTGTTCTCCTCTCCTAATTCAGGCAGGTTTCCCATCCCAGACTGACCCGTCTCTAACACACTGGAACTGTCAATCATTTGACCGATGCTTTTCATGTGTATCCTCAGAACTCACATCTTGTATCTCAGAGCTCTGGGGGTCCACAGGCTATAGATATGGTGGTACTACAAGTCACAGCAGGTCCAGCCAGTCAAAGGCTGACTCTGTAGACAGACAGATACATACACAGACTGACTGACTTCAATTAAAGGGAACTTGCAGGGGTGGAAAATATGGAAGCTGCCATTGCTGATTTTTTAAAGGTGAAGGATTTGGGGCTGTTCATCATCCTGTGTTCACTACATAGTGAGCCTCAGACCCTGAGGTAAGAATTTATATAGATAGATAGATAGATAGATAGATAGATAGATAGATAGATAGATAGATAGATAGATAGATATGATGATTATCTCTATAACATTAGGAGAGGTTCCACAGTGTCGGCTTGGGTCTGTATGATGGACGGCTGCGCTGGTATTGATGATCCGTATTTCTCTCTCTGGTAACATTCGGCTCTCTGGGGATTTTATTTGTAATTATTAATGTTTTTTTTCCGTTTGCTTTGCATGTAGCTTCCGAGAATCTCTGACACACAATCAATGCTGTGAGGGGTCAGAGCGCTCACCATCCATAGAACATTGATAATATATCGGGATACAGACCTCCCTCTGAATGATACCCGTCTCTCTTTACATATCTGTGTTATTATCTGTGTTATTTATTGAGGTGATCTAGGAATAAGAATATGTGAATGGTCACTGTATCTGCCTTTTATATCTGATGTTGGTGGCTGCGTCCACCTATAAGTTGATGTTGATAACTGATGTTGACTACTTACTTGTACTTTCTATTTGCACTGCTCAATAAAAAACAAGAATTCAAAAAAAAAAAAAAAGAATATGTGAATGTGACAGGAAAGAACCCTCATAATGGTATGGCCTCAGTAGGGTATGGCAATGGTATGGCAATAATACAATCAGTATTATTTATATGCTGGCCAATGAATAAGAAGAAGGCCACGTCCCCACAAGCATTCCAGCCAATCTTCTTGAGCACCTCTTGTTCATGAATGGCTCAAGCATTTTGTAGAATCAGCGAGATGGTATGTTACCTGAACCTATCCAGTTAGACCCCGTATGAAGTATTTTTTTGCTCGTTGACCCTTTGTTAATACTTGTAAGGGCTAACAAAAGCTTTGAAGGTCAATGCATGATTTTATCTTTTTCTGCAGCCCTCACTGTGATTGTTAGACCGGGGGTGTACAAATTAATATGAAGTTCAGGAGCCAGTCTGTCCAATCCACGAGCCAACAGGATTTTTCTAAGAGCCAGCTCCATTGACAACTAAGGAGAACCTCAAAAGTTGGGTTCCAGCTGTAATTGTTGAGGAGCATTGTCTACCTGTATTATATATATGCTGGCCAATGAATAAGAAGAAGGCCAGGTACCCACAAGCATTCAAGCCAACCTTCATGAGCACCACAAGAACCCATCAGGTGTTGACTTATTCTTCTTGTTCATGAATGGCAAGCATTTTGTAGAAGCAGCGAGATGGTATGTTGCCTGAGCCTGTCCAGTTAGACCCCCGTATTAAGTGTTTTTTTTGCTCATTGACCCTTTGTTAATACTTCTAAGGGCTCAGATAAGGTTTGATGGTCAAATATGCTTTTAACCTTTTGACAGTCTTCACTGTGATTGTTAGACTGTGGGGTGGACAAACTGATATAGACTTCAGGAACCAGTCTGTCTAATCCAGGAGCCAGCATTACTTTTTTAGGAGCCAGCTCCATTGACCACTAAGGAGAACCTCAAAAGTTGGGTTCCAGCTGTAATTGTTGAGGAGCATTGTCTACCTGTATTATATATATGCTGGCCAATGAATAAGAAGAAGGCCAGGTGCCCACAATCAAGTGATGACTAATTCTTCTTGTTCATGAAGCATTTTGTTCATGAAGCATTTTGTAGATGGTATGTTGGCTGAGCCTGTCTAGATGAACCCCGTATGAAGTGTTTCTTCGTTAATACCTGGAAGGGCCAAGAAAATGTTTGTACATGCTTTTAGCTTTTTTTTTTTTACAGCCATCACTGTTAGTCTTAGACCAGGGGTGGACAAATGAATAAGGAGTTCATGAGCCAGTCTGTCCAATCCAGGAGCCAGCTCCAATGACAACTAAGGAGAACCTCAAAAGTTGGGCCCCAGCTGTAATTTTTGAGGGGCATTGTCTACCTGGCTCCTGGGATTTCTTCAGCCCTGCCTTAGCAGAAGAATAATCTATAGGATACACTATTTCCTGCTGCTCTCTCAGTAAGAATCTGTGCCATGGGTACTTTGCCGATTTGTTGGGGGTTTAGGGTCATCGGAGAAGATTTCACAATGTTCTGAGAACATGAAACGGGGATCTGAACTCGGATCGGACTTTGGTAGAACTTCAGCTTCGATAGATGATGGATTTGGGAGTATGTGAGAAGCCGGTCCATCGTGTTCAGCCCTGCCCAGCCCCGAGGACTTGTTTTCTCACATCGTGAAGCTCTTATCTCTCTCTTGGAGCTCTCTCAGCCTCGCAGATGTTTGGAGGCGTTTTGAATCCTTGGACTGATCTTCCGTCATAATGGACTATGTTGGAAAGCTGAATTGATTACGTGTCTTTTTTATTTTAATGAAAACCAACTGCAAGTCATGAAACGGAGGACTGTGGTGTGTTTTCCAATCTGTTTGTAGTCTGAACCAGAAGACTTCGTACCACATACATAATGCGGAGGAAGCCATTCTATGACATCATGACAGCCATATTGTGCGGTGTATAACAATGCCAGGACAGGAAGTGATGAGAAATCTGTCCAATGGGGAAGCACATTTTGTTTGGAGCTGGAAAATGCATCTTCAATGCTTTTATCAATGCCCATGACTACCTGTCCTGGTGACAATCAAACCCCCATTTCTTTCTTTCTACTTAATCTCTATGAGTAAGCCAGAATGGTGAAACTCGTTAGAGGTTGCGTATACATGGGGAGGAACTTTACAGCATGTATTTGCTCTGTAAATGCCACCTCAACCTAACCACTGAACCATCACGTTCTCAAATAATTCATCCCCTCACAGCTACCTCCTCATGTATCATTTCCCCCTCCTCTTTTAGATTGTAAGCCCTCAGGGGCGGGGCCCTCCTTACCATCTTGTCTTGAATTGTAATGTCTTCCTTATATTGTAAAGCGCTGCGCAAACTTTTGCCGCTATATAAATACTATGTAATAATAATAAATAAAGACTTCTATTTTTGGCAAAGACCCTTGAAGTGCGGCTATTTTTGGATTTATTTCTTATGGGTGTCACAAAGACAGGAAGTTAGGGAAAAATCTCACCAAACTGGGCTCTAGCTGGACTTTATATCTGAAACCCAGGCACAAAAATTGCACTTAAATATATTCCTCAATAGCCACAAAGGCTATAAATCCACTTTGTGTGCTCCTATTGACTTCATCACTGTGCTGCATATAGCCTGTGCAAAGAGCAGTGCTGTGGGAGGGGTCACCCACTACATGCTGCCTGCTAAAAACTACAGGAGGGGGCAGAGACAAGACCAGTCACCCTGCAGAAGGAGAGAGAGCAGCAGCGACCGGTCTTTATTACAGGAAGGAGTGGAGACAAGACCAGTCACCCTGCAGAAGGAGAGAGAGCAGCAGTGACCAGTCTTTATTACAGGAAGGGGAGGAGATGAGACCAGTCACCCTGCACAAGGAGAGAGAGCAGTTGTGACCGGTCTTTATTACAGAAAGGGGCGGAGACAAGAGCAGGCACCCTGCACAAGGAGCGAGAGCAGCAGTGACCAGTCTTTATTACAGTAGGGGGCGGAGACGAGACCAGTCACCCTGCAGAAGGAGAGAGAGCAGCAGCGACCGGTCTTTATTACAGGAAGGAGTGGAGACAAGACCAGTCACCCTGCAGAAGGAGAGAGAGCAGCAGTGACCAGTCTTTATTACAGGAAGGGGAGGAGATGAGACCAGTCACCCTGCACAAGGAGAGAGAGCAGCAGTGAGCGGTCTTTATTGCAGAAGGGGGCGGAGGCAAGACCAGTCACCCTGCACAAGGAGAGAGAACAGCAGTGAGTTGTCTTTTTTATGGCCGTCCATCTGAATAGACACGGCTTGGTAATAAAGCATTAAAAAATGTTCACAAGATGTTTGTTACGTTTATACTGTTTGATAAGACGGTGATTAACGCAGCCAGCTAATGATTGGCTTGTGAGGCTTGCTGTGTGCCCAGGTGGACCTTCTATGTG